AGGTGGAAACACCCCTTTTCTGCAATTCTCGCGGGGCCTAGCAACTGCGGGAAAAGTTACTTTATAAAAAATGTGTTGGATAATGCCAAACAAACACTATCTGTTATGCTTGAGAATATTGTGTGGTGTTACAGTTGTTGGCAACCTCTGTATAAAGAACTGCTCTGTAAATATCCCTTTATCAATTTTGTGGAGGGGCTGCCTGATGCTTTTGACGATGACCGTTTGTTTCCTACCAATCAAGTAAATATGATTATCATAGACGATCTGATGAACTCTGCTTGTGAAATCAAGAAAGGTTTTACCAAGTATGTGCATCACAGAATCCTGAGCATTCTGTTTATAGTTCAAAACGTATTTTGTCAGGGGGAAAAGAGTCACACGATTAATCTAAACGCAAAAACCCCAGGGATAAATTACAAATCGCTACACTCGCTTGGCAAATGTACCCCTGCAAAGCTGAATTCTTTCTAGAAGCTTTTGAGGATGCTACCAAAAGACCTTATGGCTACCTAGTGGTGGATTTAAATGCTTCCACAGAAGCGTGTAGACTAAAAACTGGTGTTTTCTCTTCAGACTGGCTGGTGGTTTATACTTTGAAAAGAACAACAGCCGGGTATAAAAAGAGATGAACTATTGGCAGGCCCCTTTGTAACAGCTGGGGTTGCTGTCCGAAAACATGTCTAGCTGTGTAAAGAGAAACCTGGTCCTTTTAAAATTACTTAGCAAATCGTCCCCGCATCAAAGGAGGGCTATACTATGTTCGGCCTCTGACGATTTAGTAGCGGCCATCTCAGAAATAGCACTCAAGCTCCCAACTTCCCTGGGGGTGTAATAAATTTTCTTTAACAGGGCTGCCTAGACATGACTTTTACTGGTACCGTCTTTTACTAACACAAATATAAAAGGGGACACATTCATATTGACACATTTAAATAAATACGTTTTATTAATTGCCTGGTTTACCACGACCTTTTACAGCCGCCTGTAAAAATGGACTCCATAAGGAAGTCTGAGCTGGTTCATTCTTCCATTTTGTC